AGAGTTCAAACAAACAAGGTTTAACTTCTGAAGGGCCATAAAAAAATTAAAAATTCATAGAAATGTAGGTTTTTTCACATAATACATTATATAATCAACATATACAAAAGAACAAGGAATTTAATGGTTAGTCCTGACACTTGAAGTCTCTTCTTCACTACTATCTTTCTTATTTCGAAAGAAACTTTTTTATTTTGTTAAAAAATTTTTGTGTGTGGTTTTTTATCGGCTGACCAGAAGAATAATCACGTGGTGGGTCACATGCGGTCTACGAATTTGACACTCGTTTTTTAGACTAAACAAAGTTCACGAATATATTTTGTAAAATAATGAATGGCAAATAATAAGAATTATTATTTTTTATAAATACGCGGACATTTTCTTTAAACTACTTTTTGATTAATGACTATATAACACACTATTATACGCAAAAAAATTGCACTTCCATCTAGCCGGAGTCGAACCAGCGACCCTTGGATTTCTATCAGTACGCATTTACAGGTCATCGCTCTGCCAACTAAGCTCTCGACGGACACACAATAGAGTAACAAACTGAGACACGTTAGATAATATAAAACATTTTAAATACATCACACTATTATGTTAGCAAGGTATTTATAATAATTTCCGTGTGAATTTTTTCCAAAATCAAATCAATTTTGTATCATTTCCATTTTGAAACGTAGTCTCTTGCATAGATAAATGAATAATGAGAAGAACTGGATTTCCAGACTAATTCATTCATTCGATTCTTATAATAAGGCACCAATGCATTGATTCATGCTTTACTACACTTTTTCGAATAACACTTAAATTGAATGACGGACGGTGAAATTTAAACTATGTACATTTCCCTTTAGAAAGACCGTTGGGTACGTTGTACGGTGCGAGTTTGATATGACAAGGCAAGGCACCAAGTGCTGCTTGGCACAAGAAAGAAATACCGCCAAGCAGCGCTTGTTGTCACTGGAATGGAATCCAAGATTGAGGCCTAGCGGAAGATAATTTTAAAGAATTGTTTCGAAATACTATGAAATATAATTCAAAAGAATAATATAGAAAAAGATTGAGAATAACTAAGATCAATAAATCAATAATAAAAACAATGTAACATAATAAAAGTAACATATACTAATAATAAACTGATATTTGTAAAAAAAATGCAACGCCATGAAGGAATCAACAGAATTAAATGAAATTTAATCCACAAGCTACATGTACTAGTACAAATAAATGACGAAATTTTCAAAGCACAGAAAACAATATTAAGTGTCTGAAATCAGTATCAGTCAGAAATTTTCACTTCAAAAATTTATGAAAAAAGTGAAAAAATATTGGAAGTTATAACTTTTCAAGCAAATATTGGATTATTATTGTTAGCTGGTGTTTGTAAATCATATGAAGAATCCACAAAAATCTTACGTTATAAGAAAACTGACAGGAATATATTTCGTGCGACAATGTAACTCGAAACATTTTGAGCAATGTCGAGAGTTATTCTTTTTTTATAATATATCCACTCTTCAAGGGAGTAGAAAATTAGAAAAAATAGCTGCAGTGTGAGATAGCTGGGAAAAATGGATAGAAATTCTTCCAAAATTATACAGTCCGAATGAATATATTACTGTGGATGAACAATCAGCAGAATTTCAAGGCTGATGTGCTTTCAAACCGTATAAACCAAGTAAGCCATCTAAATATGGGATCAAAATATGGACTTTAGTAGAAAGTAAAACTTCGTACGTACTGTAAAAATGAAATTGCACTGGAAAGAACAAGGGTCAAAGACAGCGAAAAATCAAACAATGCGAGTATAGCGTGATATCACTTACGGATATTCGGGGCACAATATTATATGTAATAATATTTTCAAATCTTACAATTTAGGGAAACTTCTTCTAAATCAGAAAAGGACTATGATTGACATCATTAGAAAAAAATAACCAGAACTTCCTAAAGAAATGCCAAATAGAAAAGTTCAGTGATTTTTTTTTACAGAAGTCACAGCATTTGTAAAATTACATCACAAAAAAGAACAACAAAGTTTTTCTTATGAACACTTTACATTGTGGTAAAAAAAGTTAGTAACAGACCTTCCAAAAACGCTCAATCATCGTAGGTTATTTTTCAACTAAATGAGCTGTAGATATTCTGGATCAATTTCTAAACGCATACACTTAAAAAAGAAAACAAATCTTTGGCCCATGATAGTATACTATAACAAAGTGGTCTCCAACCGCCAGTCCATGAATCAAACACTACTGGCTCGCACAAGAAACATTAAATTATTTCCATTTTATTTTCTGCGGCATATTTTTCTTTGGTCTGGGCTTTTCTTTTTAATGAAAATCCCTTTATATTCCTTGTTAAATCAATGTATATTCATTTTTTATGTAGCTATATTTTATTCTGGGCACGTTTAAATACAAGAAAAAATTAAAATAAAATTATTAAAACAAAACAATCTAAAATATAAACAATCAACGTCCTCGTGCCGTGGTAAAATTATCCAACGTTGACCGGTCCACAGCGATAAAAAGGTTGGGAAACACTGCTATAACATGTTTGATACTACTGCGTACAATGTATTTGTTCTATAGATTTCAATACATAGTAATTGGAACAAAACCAAGCTGACTAAACGAAAGTTATATTTGGAAGAACTGGGAAAATCACTCATTTTTCCATAGATTGAAGCAAGGCCAAACCTATTAAGAAGTGAGGACTCAATAAAATAAAGAAACGAATGCAGAGAAAGGGGAAAGCGTAACATCGGGATATGTCGAGAATACTTCATTGTGTGACAAACTTGGAGGTGCCAGTTATCTCTGTCCACTTAGCAATGACAACAAAAATAATATGTTATGCTAAGAGTGTAAGAATCACATTTGCAGAGCTCATGTAAGATATCATTGTTTTCAAATTGTAAATAAAAGTAAGTTTTAATTTTTAAATAGTCTCTGTTATTGAAGTTATACTTCTTTTGGGGCGTTCAAGAAATAGGATGAGGGTAAATTTTTACGATGCATGAGCACACCGTCACGGATGCGAAAACGCTTTGTCTAAAAATATACAGAACGGAACAGACCAATCCCGCCTTCGATATTCTCAGAAAATTATTTCTCTTCACTTCCCTGAAGAAGGGGACTCCCGGGGTTGAACCGGAGACCTCTCAATCTGCAATCGAATTCAATACCACTGATCTATATCCCCGCGTCAGCGAAACATTGCTTTGCGTTCCTTAGGAATGGATGCGAAAATGATTTGTCTAGAAATATACAAAACGGGACAAATTTCCCGCCTTCGAAATTCTCAGAAAAATATTTGTCTTCACTTCTCTGAAGAAGGGGACTCCCGAGTTTGAAACAGAGACCTCTCAATCTGCAGTCGAATTCACTACCACTGATCTATATCCCCGCGTCAGCGAACCTTTGCTTTGCGTTCCTTAGGAATAGATGCGAAAACGCTTTGTCTAGAAATATACAGAACGGGACAGATCAATCCCGCCTTCGAAATTCTCAGAAAAATATTTGTCTTCACTTCTCTGAAGAAGGGGACTCCCGAGTTTGAAATGGAGACCTGTCAATCTGGAGTTGAATTCACTACCACTGACCTATATCCCCGCGTCAGCGAAAATTTGCTTTGCGTTCCTTAGGAACGGATGCGAAAATACTTTGTCTAGAAATATACAGAATGGGACCAACCAATCCCGCCTTAGAAATTCTCAGAAAAATATTTCTCTTCACTTCCCTGAAGAAGGGGACTCCCGGGTGTGAACCGGAGACCTCTCAATCTGCAATCGAATTCACTACCACTGATCTATATCCCCGCGTCAGCGAACCTTTTCTTTGCGGTCCTTAGGAACGGATGCGAAAACGCTTTTTCTAGAAATAAACAGAACGGGACAGACCAATCCCGCCTTCGAAATTCTCAGAAAAATATTTCACTTCACTTCCCTGAAGAAGGGGACTCCCGGGTTTGAACCGGAGACCTCTCAATCTGGAATTGAATTCACTACCACTGATCTATATCCCCGCGTCAGCGAATCTTTTCTTTGCGTTCCTTAGGAACGGATGTACGAAAACTCTTTGTCTAGAAATATTCAGAACGGGACAAATCAATCCCGCCTTAAAAAATCTCATAAAAATATTTCTCTTCACTTATCTGAAGAAGGGGACTCCCGGAATTGAATCATAGACCTCTCAATCTGCAGTCGAATTCACTACCACTGATCTATATCCGAGCGTCAGCAAACCTTTGCCTTAAGTTCCTTAGGAAATGATGCGAAAACGCTTTGTCTAGAAATATACAGAACACAGGACAGATCAATCCCGCCTTAAAAATTATCAGAAAAATATTTCTCTTCACTTATCTGAAGAAGGGGACTCCCGTGTTTGAATCGGAGACATCTCAATCTGCAATCGAATTCACTACCACTGATCTATACCCCCGCGACAGGGAACCTTTGCTTTGCGTTTCTTAGGAATGGATGCGAAAATGCTTTGTCTAGAAATACACAGAACAGGACAGACCAATCCCGCCTTCGAAATTCTCAGAAAATTTTTTCTCTTCAACTCCCTGAAGAATGGGAGTCCCGGGTTTGAACCGGAGACCTCTCACAATGCAGTCGAAATCTCACTACCACTGATCTATATCTCCGCGTCAGCGAACCTTTGTTTTTTCGTTCCTTAGGAACGGATGTGAAAACACTTTGTCTAGAAATATACAGAACGGGACAGACGAATCCCGCCTTCGATATTCTCAGAAAAATATTTCTCTTCACATCCCTGATCAAGGGGACTCCCGGGTATGAACCGGAGACCTCTCAATCTGCAGTCGAATTCACTACCACTGATCTATATACCCGCGTCAGCAAACCTTTGCTTTGCGTTTCTTAGGAATGGATGCGAAAACGCTTTGTCTAGAAATATACAGAACAGGACAGACCAATTCCGCCTTCCAAAGTTCTCAGAAATTTTTTCTCTTCACTTCCCTGAAGAAGGGAACTCCCGGGTTTGAACCGGAGACCTCTCAATCTACAGTTGAATTCATTCTACTACTGATCTATATCCCCGGGTCAGCGTACCTTTGCTTTGCGTTCCTTAGGAACGGATGCGCGAAAACGCTTTGTCTAGAAATGTACAGAACGGGACAGACCAATCCCGCCTTCGAAATTCACAAAAAAATATTTCTCTTCACTTTCCTGAAGAACGGGACTCCGGGATATAACCGGAGACCTCTCAATCTGCAGTCGAATTCACTCTACCACTGATCTATATCTCCGCGTCAGCGAACCTTTGCTTTGCGGTCCTTAGGAACGGATGCGAAAACACTTTGACTATAAATATACAGAACGGGACAGACTAATCCCGCCTTCGAAATTCCAGAAAAATATTTCTCTTCACATCCCTGAAGAAGGGGACTCCAGGGTTTGAACCGGAGACATCTCAATCTGG